GAGGCTCGACGAGGCCCTGGGCAACCTGGTCTAGTTGGGGGTGTCCCTGCTGACTGTGGGGAGGTCGGACTAGATGAGCTTTGGAGGTCCCTTCTGGCCTGGGCAATTCTATGATTCTATGATTCTATTATTCATTTTGGGATTTGCCCTTCAAGGGCTGGTGCAGACCCTCCATTTCTTTTCCCCAGACCACCCCCCTCCAATTTCCAAGCCCCCCCTGGGCTCCCACCACGTGAGAGGTTCTGGGGATGGCTCCCCATCCGTGGTCTCACGGCGGAGCTGGGCTGTCTGCTGGGGAGGGCGGCGTGCCAGGGCTGGGGAATCGATTTCCACGGCTCCTCTGTCCTAACCTTACAGCCAGAAACTCGAGTCCACTGAGAGAGAAAGAGACAGACAGGCCCACAGACGGGAGAAAAGAAGAAGGGGGGGAGGAGATTGATTGGCTTCTACCCCGAGAAGAGGAGAGCCCATATAGAACAGGTCACCGGAGCTTTTCATCTCTGTATCTTTAGCCCCGATCTTTTTCCCCCCCCTCCACCTCCTCCTTTTCCCTCCTGTAGCTCAGCCCCCCTCCTGGGCTCTGTTCAGGGCTCTTTAGGCGGCGATGAATCATTTAGTTGGTGTAAATTGAAATCGTGGCGCTCGCTCGGTTGCTGGATGGGTCTCCAGGGGAGGGTTGAGGGGCCAGGGTGGGAGCTGGGGACGGGGGGAGAGTGGAGGAAGAGGTTGAAAAGCTAATAGCTGGCACGGAGACACTCAGTGCCTGGTCACAAGGTCGAAGCAATGTCACCAGCCCTCACTGGGGTCTGCGGAGAGAGGCACGAGAGCAGAGCAAAGTTTTCTTCAAGCCTGAGTTGAATTGCAGCTTCCTCCTGTGGCAGACACAGCAGCATCCAAAGATGCCACCAATATCTGACCGCCCCTCCAAACCCCAGGAAGTTTCTTCCGTCTCTATTCATATCAAAAAACATCATTTTTCTCTATGTCCTTTCCCTCTCACATAGGGAGAGCATCCCCCATCTCTGGATCTCTCATTGCCCCCAGAGGAGGGATAAACCCTTCTACAGCTAAACGAGCCCTCTCTATGCCTGCCTGGTCCAACACCAGCTCCAGAGCAGACATCCACAAACCCTGACCCATGTGCCTGTGGTAACCACTCAAGTTTTCTGCCCTGTACAGCATCTATGGGTTGTGCTTAACACCCCAACTGCCAGCAGGATGGATGTTTGGGGCAGAAGAGCAGCAGCATCCTTACAGGGAGAGGCAACCCTTTATAAAGGAGTAATATGATGACCTTGCTGGGTGCAGAAGGGACCTGTTCCAGGCTCTGTTGTGTTCCCTGCCACTTCTACATTTTGGCTGTGCTGCCCCATTTCATCCTCACGTAGGCTCTGTCCGATTCTGGGATGGATAGGCAGGCTGAGAGAGCTGGGGTTGTTCAGCCTGGAGAGGAGAAGGCTCCGGGGAGACCTTAGAGCCCCTTCCAGTCCCTAAAGGGGCTCCAGGAGAGATGGGGATGGACTCTTGATCCAGGACGGGGGATAATGGTTTTAAACTGAAAGAGGGGAGATTTAGATTAGATATCAAGAAGAAGTTCTTTGCTGTGAGCGGGTCACTGAGATTAATTCCCTGTGGAGCTTTTTGAAGCGGTATTTGAAAGTAAATGTTAGCAAATTCCACTCCAGTTTGTTCCTTCCCCCCACCGAGATTAATTCCCTGTGGAGCTTTTTGAAGCAGTATTTGAAAGTAAATGTTAGCAGATTCCACTCCAGTTTGTTCCTTCCCCCCCACTTTCCACTGCAGTCAAGAAATCTGGTTTCTGGTACTATCTTCAAAGGGGTTTTTGGTGCAGCTTCAAGTGTTCCTCTCTGGGTCTCAGTTTCCTCATCTTTTTCAAAGAATCATAGAATGG